TTATTTTTGAGTTTTGCGAAAATCAAGTTGGTCAACCCCTAAAAAGTTTCTATGTAGTCTCTAAATGAACCCCCTAAAAGGAAAAAATTTTAAAAAAATTTTAACCCGTGCCTCAAAGGGCCTAAAGGGCCTAAACCCAAAATTCAAAAATTTTGGCAAGCGACACATCAATTCTGAAGGAAAATGGCAAGTTACGGCCCTTTTAGGGCAGAAATTTCGTCCGTTTTGCCGTATCTTGAAGCGTAAGGTCACAAACGGCCCAATGACGACGTGAGGCTATGGGCTGGCGGGGCGCGCCGCGGCCGGCCCGCCGCTGAGCGTGCGCGCGCGGCAGGGTTGCGTATCGCCGCTTTACAACGGCGTAGAGGAACGAACGGTGGGGTGGGAGGGGGATATCCAGTGGAAAAGCATCCACATTTTCTATCCATATTGAAAATGCATTATACTTTTTCAATATAGATGAGGAAATATGAGCCATACAAGGAAGTGATGAAAAGAGTGACAAATACATATATAGTTTGTACGGTTAGGAGTGTAAGTGGGGAAAATTTGCCATAACTACAGAACAGCCCTGAAAATCTCCGGGAAATAAAAGCTGCTATTGATGAGAGGTTTGCATGAGAGGTTTAATTAAGGACTAATTAAAAAGATAGGTGCGATGTTGTCGAATCGTAAGCCCTTTACGCGATCAAAAGCGATTAGTGTAAATTTAATTGGAAAAGTTTAAGAAAAATTTGATGAAAGAAAATTGCCCCAAATTCGGGAAGTGCTTAAAGTGTTTTTCTATCATGTGAAGTGTTCGCACATGAATGTCAATGGCAGTAATTCCAATATGGAATGAAAAATGTAGAATCCCTGTGATACATAGTGTCTATGTTTCATCCACCCACCTTTTCATTAGTGCATTTAACGTGACATCAATTAGAAAGTTTAATTCGAGAGGTTCAATATGGCTTACCCACTTACATTTTCTGGTACTGAACCCCCCCCCCCCCCCCCAGTTACTTGCTATAATCAAAAATGTAATATTAGTTTCTCGAAAAAATATGATTTAATTTGGGGTTTGAACCCCACTCTTTATAACCGTGGGCAATGCCCTTGACCACTCGGCTACTGGGGAAGATTTGAGTAAATGAGGCTAATGTGTCATTTAGCCCCGTGGGTGAGGCCAGGCAATCAACATCAGCTGTAAGTTGGCGAAGCCAGATTGAACCGATTGAATAAAACTTTCTAATTGATGCCGCGTCAAATACACCAATGAAAAGGAGGGTAAACAAAGTCTTATTGATGTATCAAACCTTCAGTAATTTCATATGAAATGAAAAAACCTATTTTCTTCCGTTTGGCGGGACTCATTAGCGAGCGTGAATTTTTCCTGTCGAGAAACTCTCTCCTGGGCGCGAGCTTTCTTCTTGTCTGCTCTCCTCACCTCTGCTGCAAGGATAGTATCCTTCACTGTGGATATTATGCATTCTCATCCAGGTTTTCGTTGAAGAATTAAACATGCTTTATCCTCTTCATTTTCCATGATATCTAGAGTATTGCATAAAGCAATGTCGAATAACACGTCGATTTTTGCCGTAAAATCAGTCTCCAAATTCTCTTGAACCAGCGATCGACGGCTAGCATTTTTTGATACGCGCCTCCACTCCTCATAAAAATGTAAACATTTTTAAAAACATGGACACTATGTATCACAGGGATTCTACATTTTTCATTCCATATTGGAATTACAAGATCAGAGGTTTTTGACGCACCGCCATTGACATTAATGTGCGAAAACTTCACATAATAGAAAAACACTTTAAGCACTTCCAGAATTTGGGGCAATTTTCTTTCATCAAATTTTTCTTAAACTTTTCCAATTAAATTTACACTAATCGCTTTTGATCGCGTAAAGGGCTTACGATTCGACAACATCGCACCTATCTTTTTAATTAGTCCTTAATTAAACCTCTCATGCAAACCTCTCATCAATAGCAGCTTTTATTTCCCGGAGATTTTCAGGGCTGCTCTGTAGTTATGGCAAATTTTCCCCACTTACACTCCTAACCGTACAAACTATATATGTATTTGTCACTCTTTTCATCACTTCCTTGTATGGCTCATATTTCCTCATCTATATTGAAAAAGTATAATGCATTTTCAATATGGATAGAAAATGTGGATGCTTTTCCACTGGATATCCCCCTCCCACCCCACCGTTCGTTCCTCTACGCCGTTGTAAAGCGGCGATACGCAACCCTGCCGCGCGCGCACGCTCAGCGGCGGGCCGGCCGCGGCGCGCCCCGCCAGCCCATAGCCTCACGTCGTCATTGGGCCGTTTGTGACCTTACGCTTCAAGATACGGCAAAACGGACGAAATTTCTGCCCTGAAAGGTCCGTAACTTGCCATTTTCCTTCAGAATTGATGTGTCGCTTGCCAAAATTTTTGAATTTGGGTTTAGGCCCTTTAGGCCCTTTGAGGCACGGGTTAAAATTTTTTTAAAATTTTTTCCTTTTAGGGGGTTCATTTAGAGACTACATAGAAACTTTTTAGGGGTTGACCAACTTGATTTTCGCAAAACTCAAAAATAAGGCACACCCTAGAGTAGGTATATAGCGTGGTAAAAGAATGTTTGAAAAAATAGTTCTATTTCGTACTGCGGGGACCACTCCAAAGAGATAATAGCAAAGTCTATGGCGCGTGAAAAGTTAACTGGTACTTAAAATAGGTGAGACTTTTTTTATTCAATCTTTTTTAATCATTGTATTGGCGTCGCTTTGTCGAGAATCAATTAAATCCGCACATTCAGGTGTAAAAAATTAAATTTACGGGAAGAATGAGGAAAAACATAAGTGCCAAGGGACTTCATAAGTTTGTATGCGTGTCTCAATTAATTACACAACAGCTACAACGTTTCGCGTTCAAAGATTATTAAATAGGTTTCTTTATGGGTCAAGATGTTTGTTTTTTGCACCTTTAATAACGTTCTCCGAAATTCTCCTATGTGACACTTTTGCTCTAACTCGAAATTTAGTTTAGTTTATTTAGCCCTATTAATTTGAGCGACATCCACCCATGCTGAGTCTAGAGTCGAATGCTGTCATTTGAATTTAAATATTTTACTTTTGCTTTCATCGCGTAATATTTCAACCAATCGAATTTTACTGCCAAAACTGATCGAGGAAAACGGATACTTTTTTCTCTATCTATTTTTACTTTTTTATCGGATGAAGGAAATATATTTACAGTTTTTTTCTATTGACTTGCTCTTTCATTTTTTTAATTTTACGAACTATACTTTTTTATCCTTTGGATGCCCGTTAGATGTAAAAGTCTCATCAGTTTTTAAAAAAATTTAAATACGCTCATAAAAGCTTGTCGACGACTATAAAAATTGCCAGACAGACAAAAAGCTGCAGTCAATAAAAAATCAATAGAGAAAACAAAATATGATTTTTTTCTGAGAGTCTGCTATATGGTTAGATTTTATGATCAAATGTGATGAATACAGTTACATTCAGTTGGTCTCCCAAATCATCATAAGAATACTGGAGATTTTGATTTTTCAAAAAGAAAGGATTAGTTACATAACGAAATGACATTTCGAACGGTTTAAATATAATTTCGAAATACTACATGCTCAGTAATTAAAGTGGAATTCCGAAGTTTTAAGCGAACAATCTGAAAAGAGGAGGAAGAGAGATGGTTAAGAGGAATCGAAAAATTGAAGGAGGAAAAAGATGCAAAATTAAAATCCCAAGGAATTAACAAATGAGAAGGTATGATAAATGTTTGCTGTTTTTAAAAAGACACTGTCGTTCATGACAATATACAAATTGGTCTAGTATTAATAAAATTCCTTTCAATCAGGTACTGTCACTTACCTGGATAACTTGGATACCTTGTAAGGTAGCAATGTAGGAAGAGATGTGCTTATTTCGCTGTATAACTTTTATTTCGTCATCCATTATGCCAATCATACATTCTAAAAGGAGTTGACATGATCAAACAGTTATCATGACCCTAACCATAATGCACCTGCTATAATTAAAGAACGAGAAAATATTTCCAAAGTCACCGAATCGAAACATCGGTGATTAAGTGAAGAAATGTACCTGACGCTTCTAATATTGATGCCTGACAGTGTCTGATTGTCTGATCCTTCTCCCAAATTTCAAAATGCTCATTCAAATAGGATCTTTTCAGCAATTTTTGGCATTTACAATTTTCTGTTAACGGATACATTTTTTATAAGAACTTTCTAATCTATGAGACATTTCTTGTAATCGTGTGATCTTTATTTTAAATTTCCTGCGCTACACCGCTGTAGTATCTGGTATCAGAAGGTCCTCAGATTTTTTCCGGACCCCCCCCCCTCCCCTAACACCCGAAATGCTCTGAAAAATCGTCTTCTCTTAGACTTTTGACTTCGTTAATGGACCAAGATTCTTGAAAACTTACAGTTTTCTACAATTTTAACCGCTTACTTTTTTTGTACCCGCTAGAATTTGCGAGCCTTGTTCTCAGAGTTGTTTATTTTTATTAGATTTGGATGAAGTATTGAGCATGAATATACCTTGCTAACTGGAGAATACTTTATATTTGAGAGATTTTTAAAAATCTATAATTTCAGGATGTATCAAGCAGGTGGTTAATTGATAATCGTATGACAATCATCATCATACAAAGATCCATCCTCGTCAATCCCTGCTCCGCTTTCATATGTGTTGTTGCGCTGAACAACTTATCAGTGAGATATATTGCCTACCTGAGAATTGCAGGCGTTACGAGGCGGACACGGATATCATCTGTGTTAAATGTTTCCGCAATCCTCTTATTCTTATTCTTATTTGACTCAAAAATCACACCACCTCTGATACTTGAAATTCAAAACAACTTTTCCGTTTATTTTTATCCTTTTGGGCAGATCAAGGATTAAACTAACCTCTTTTAATGAATGGAATATGGAGGAAATAAGGATATCCACAGTTTTTTCGTTTTTTTTTTTTTTTTTTTTTTTTTTTTTTTTTTTTTTTTTTATTCCATTATTATTGAAGTTTTCTTACTTTCAGAGTGACATTATTCTGCTGAGATCAGGTATACAACAATAACATTTCAGTTTTGGGAGTGCTATGATGGAGGAACAGATGAAATTTTGCTTGTTTCTGATGTAGCCGAGATCGGGTTTAATTTGAAGTCATACTTATGTCGTCAGGTAATCTGAGAGTTCTGGATTTCACTTTCCGGGCAGATGTCATCAGGAGAGACGAGATCAGGATTAATCAGTCATTTTGTTTTGATATAAGAGAAGATTTTGATTTCTCTGTGTCTCATGCAGATTCTGAAACAAAATGGAAGAAATGTCGTCCTGTCATCCGAGCGAATAAACTTGTTTATAGAAATACAGAGTAGGCCATCCTTTAATTTCGATTTTTTCATGGATCAGTTTATTTCAAAACTAACCAACGTAAACTTACGCATTTTCAAAACTCATCTTGGAGACTTGCTTTTATTGATGTCTAAAATAGCTTGCTGTATCAAATCCTGAATAATAAGGATTTTTCAAATTCTTAGATCCAAATTCCGTCTTGTGTTTTATCACACTCAAACATCGGTAAAAATGAGAACGAACTTTCTTTTTTTTCGATTGAGCCATTGAATAGCGCATTTTTCATGCGTTTTTGTCTTGGTTTTGTTTTCTTCAACACCATTGCGGTGATGGCGCTTTTTCAGTCTTGGAGATTTAGACTAAACTTCCAGAATCGCGGTATCTTTCACTTTGTATTTATCCTTAGTTTATCGTGAAAAGTTTTTCGAGAATCCCCCATAAAAAGATCAAAAAATACAATTATCTATTGATTATAATGGGCTTGATGCAGACTTTTGTCAGGGCAAAACAAGAGTTATTTCTATCAGTAAATGTTTCAAAAATCACGATGGGAGTATGGACAAAGTTTGAAATGCACCTCTCACTGTAGTATCGTTTTTGAAGCAGTAAGCTCAAAATGACGCAAATTTCTTACACCGATTATGAAGTTTGGAGTGTATTTCAAACTTTACCGATGCGCTCATCGTGATTTTTGAGACATTTACTGATAGAAAAAATTCTTATATTTGCTCTAGCAAAAGTTTGCAACAGGCCAAAAATAAATTAAAGAGCTAAAATGTTGTTCAAAGTGTAGAATACGGTTGTCCTTATTTCGCCTTCAGCTGCGTCTGCAGCAATTGTTGTTACGAATATGTTGCGCGTGCCGATCTCAGCTCATTACTTACTTGACTCTCCGAAGACGTTTTAAGTGTAAAAGTAGAGCACACTGGTGGAGAACAACAGAAGTGAGATTGAATGAATCGCTCAATCCCTACTTCTTTCGTTGTCCAACAGGTTCTGCTACTTTCGCACATGAAACGCCTTCAGGGAGTCGCGTATGAAATGAGCTAAAATCAGCTCGCACAACATATTTGGGTAGTTTCACGATAACCGGAATTGTTTTGTCGCCGTAACAGACAGCAATTGTTAGCTAGACATAACCTGAAACGAGTTGGTAAAGTACGACTATCAGTAGCGGCTCTGAAAAGTTGGCAGCACTAGTTTCCCTAAATTTTAATGTATGTACAACACTGTCGTGATAGCAGAGAGCAGCTTATTCATTTTCATGTTAAGCTAGTGTCAGGCAAGACAACCGTAAGTGATATCTTCTGCATGCTTTCGTGGTTGCGTTTTGGATACACAACAAACATATTTCCAGGTTGAAAATTGGCAGAAGAGGACGACAGTTTACTTGGAAGCACTGTGTTCATTGGCTCTCTGGAGGAATAATGTCACTTACGACTGTTTTGCCTGAAATTAGGTCATTTTTTGCGCACTCACACCTTCCTCATATGTCTCATCTCCAAATATTTAAGATTTATTTTGCTGTTTTAGCTGTTTCAGTGGTTTCATCTCAAAGAGATTAGCCGAATTTTGAAGGAAACTCGATTTAGAAAATTTCACACATACTGCTCTCTTCGGTATAACTGCAGAACAATCGACTCCTGGTGAGGCCGCATGCCTCACCTAATATCGATAGTTGTAATGCATATAAGTGGAGCGAAAACACTGTGATACCAACTTGCAAAATCGCCTCTGACGACTACATCATACACACTCTCCTTTAATCCCTAACTTTACTTGTTCAACTTACTTTCGACTTCAGAAGGGATCGATCGCTTTTTCTTGACGATGGCTGGTGCTGGTGCTGGGCTGAATCCTGGGCCTTGAATGTACTGTGGCCCATGTGAAACGTGCGCATCTTGGGCAGGGTATCCGTTAAGATAAGCCGGCGCGTATGACCCTCCAGCAGTGTATAATCCAGGTGCTTGACCGTATGGTGGTAGGTAGCTGGACTGAGCGGCGCCTGGAGTGTAGGCAGGCGTGTATGCAGGAGCGTAGGCCGGGTAGCCGGGCTGGTATTGGTCGGGCTGAGGCGCGTAAGCCGGAGCGTATTGTTCTGGTTGGGGTGCGTAGCTCAAAGCCGGAGCGTAAGCAGGGCCAGGCTGATCAGCTTGCACTGCTGGTGCGTAACCTTGGGGTAAAGAATAACCTCATTAGCATGTATTAGCACTCGAGGCATATACAGGGTTATCCAAAAGTCACTGACCACCCCTGTAACTTTTTTCCAAATTGAGATAGAAGTTTGAAACTTTGGGAATGTTCCTCGGTCTAAAGTAGCAACTTTTTGGTCCCCCCAAAATTTTGGCGGCCCCCCCTAAGGGGGGCGGGGGCTAACTTTTTTTTTCAAATGGCAACCCCCCCTTTGTGATACCTCATTCGAAAAATAATAAAAAAAGAAAATTTTTGGCGCAAACCGCAGGTCAAAATGTTGATTTTTGACAAAATGGCGGCCGGTCAAAGTTCAAAATGGCGGAAATTTGGCATCTCCGTTTTTTATCGACGGATTGGTCTGAAACTCAGAATCTTAGGGTTTTTTGGGACGAGAAAAACGATTCTGGCATCGGTTTTCCAGAAAAGTCAGTCCTTTTCAAAATGGCGGCGGTCAAAATGGCGGCCTAGAGCGAGAAGTGGATATTTAGGCTGCTTATCGTTGGATTTGCATGAAACTTGGTATCCGGGGGTATTTCGGCACGAGAAGAACGAATCTTTCATTGGATATCTGAAATTCCGAAGAATTTCAAAATGGCGGCGAAAAAGTGGCGAGAAATCAGTTTTACGGCTGTTTACCGATGTATTTGCATGAAATGCGATATCGATTATTTAGTATTTCAAGAATTAATGAAAGATTTCTTTTTATCCAGCCAAAAACCTTCAGGATGTCGCATTTCATGCAAATACATCGGTAAACAGCCGTAAAACTGATTTCTCGCCACTTTTTCGCCGCCATTTTGAAATTCTTCGGAATTTCAGATATCCAATGAAAGATTCGTTCTTCTCGTGCCGAAATACCCCCGGATACCAAGTTTCATGCAAATCCAACGATAAGCAGCCTAAATATCCACTTCTCGCTCTAGGCCGCCATTTTGACCGCCGCCATTTTGAAAAGGACTGACTTTTCTGGAAAACCGATGCCAGAATCGTTTTTCTCGTCCCAAAAAACCCTAAGATTCTGAGTTTCAGACCAATCCGTCGATAAAAAACGGAGATGCCAAATTTCCGCCATTTTGAACTTTGACCGGCCGCCATTTTGTCAAAAATCAACATTTTGACCTGCGGTTTGCGCCAAAAATTTTCTTTTTTTATTATCTTTTGAATGAGGTATCACAAAGGGGGGGTTGCCATTTGAAAAAAAAAAGTTAGCCCCCGCCCCCCTTAGGGGGGGCCGCCCTCCAAAATTTTGGGGGGACCAAAAAGTTGTTACTTTAGACCGAGGAACATTCCCAAAGTTTCAAACTTCTATGTCAATTTGGAAAAAAGTTACAGGGGTGGTCAGTGACTTTTGGATAACCCTGTAGAGTCATAACCTTTGGAAAGAGCACAGCAAAGCACAGCAAAAAAGTATGGTAAAATCTACTGTAAGGCTTCTTGATTTTTGACACAGTAATACCATTTAGTGAGGATAACTAGAATTATAATAGTATTCACCAGAACTCTGGTGATATGTGCTATAGTATGGTAAATGCTACCATAGAGTCCGGTGTAGATAAGCATACTCAGACCACTGTGTCAGAGTACAGTAAAATCGGCCATATTTTTACTTTCTTGCTCCCCTAGGGTAGATAGGAAGTATTGTCATCCTCCAAGAAAGAAAAAAAAAAAGTTGAAATTCCATCATTTCTAGACGTTTTTTTTTTCAGTAAGGGAGGCTGAGGAGGGGGTCATCCAGCTGATGGTGTCCTCCACAGGTAGAATTTTGAAAATCGGGTATCCCCACAATGCAATTTTCAATTTTTTTTTAACGTAAAATATCACCTAAAGAACGGTGAAACTCAACAGGTAGCCTATCACGGTAAAATATCTGTTGAACCCTACGGCCCACGCCCGTAAATATACGTGCTCCGCGCGCCGTCCTCCAGGGCTTACGCCCGGATGTATACGGGTTTCTCCGAAAAATTTTCCACCTGTAAAATTTTTAGCCGAATTAATTTTTTTTTTTTTCAGAGTTAAATTAATGTTCTTAAAGTATAATGTCAATCTACAACGCATTGTGTATAAATCCTGGAAAATGCAAGTTATTTCATGAAGAAATAAGAGAGACACAAACATTTCTATGTGGGACTCGAGCAATTCTCATGATTTCGCCCTAACCAGCATGCGTTCAACCCATGAATTTAACCTCGGCCAGGAGTGCATATTCTGCCCACCCCAACCCAGGACTGGACAGGTTAACAGAATGACGGCAGAGAGGCTGCCAAAGAAGATACTTGATTGGATTCCTACTGGGAAAAGACGGAGAGTATGCACAGTGAAGGGGTGGTGACAGGGGTTTTGGAGGAAATGAGGGAGTACCGACTCCCAGAGGGGGAAGATAGGCGACATTAGATAGACACACGAAAAAATGTCTCAGAACTTTGGAGGGAAGGCGCCCCCTTGCTTTATAAATGCGCAATTACTGAGGGTTGCAATAATTTATCCCTACAATAAATACAAATAATGAAATAAAGCAATTATATGACCGTGATAAACTTTAGGATAAGTTGCTTAAAAATTGTCATAAACCGCGATTTTTTAAATATATATGTATTTTACATTTTGTGTAGTGATAAATCGATGTATTCCGATTATTCACATAAAGTGGCAACCATGACACATGACCTCTTCGAGAAACTGTGGTGTTTAACTTCGTACATTCAAGTCGCTTTTACAGCGAGCCCGGACGCTCTGCGACACCTAATCACCATTCTTGCCTATTGATCCAGAGGTCATCTGGTAAATGACATCTTGTAATTTCATCTTGAATGCCACCTATCCACGATTTTGCTGGATGTCCCTTTACGTCTTCTCCGAAGAGGGACCCCCCCCCCCAGAGGGAGGGGGGTGTTGTTCAACTAACGAATGTAAATATACTGTAACTTTATTACCGTGAGGTTGAAGGTATGGAGGTGAGTATGGTCCTGGTTGAGGAGCGTACTGGACAGGCGCGCTTGATTTTTGGGAGAAGGTGACGGATCCCTGAGGACCGTAGTACGCGTAACCATGTCCAGGGGCAAGGTTGCCATGGGTTCCAGCAAGGGAACTGCTGTACCCATCAACGGCGAAGACTTGCTGCTTTTGCAGGGGCACAGGATGATGGGCGGCAGGGGCGAAGGGACTGCTACGGTGAGACCCGCTGTATGCTTCGTTGAAGGCCGCATGCGCCGAGATTAGCGCCAGGGTGGACACGAAGATCCAGGATGACACCTGAAATAAAATAATACCCAAAAAGTGTGTAAGCATCAGTCAATGAGACTGTGATAAAGTGGAAATGAGATATGATGGACGCAGCCTGTTACATGATATACAATAAATAACAATTTGAAAAGCGGGTGACCAGACTAAAATTTCACGAATAAAACCAAAACGTTTTGGCTGAAAACTCAGCCTCTCCTGGTTGGATAAATAAAAAGAAAAATTGTAAAAATGTTAAAAAGCACCCGCATGGTTGACAACATTTTCGCTTTGAAAGGTACAGCCAGATACTATTTTAGGTTTTTACCATTTTTCTTTTTATCCATCCAACTGAGGAAGACTGAGTTTTCAGCCGAAATTTTTTGGTTTTGCTAGAGAAATTTTAGCCTTGTTACCCGCTTTTTAAATTGTTATTTATTGGATGAAGTAGAAAGCAGTATAATGCGATTGCCAACCTGTTTTACTTATATACGCATCTAGTTTGAAATTCACTTCAATCTAAAATGTTTTAACCTTCTGAACCTTGAATTCATTTTAAGTTTTGGGCGCAGAAGGTCACAAATCTATGCTGTAGCTTTTGTAAAAACACAGATCCCTGAATTTTTTCCTTAAAATTTCAAAATGTTGGCTATCATTTTTTCGAAACAGGAAACATTGAAGAAAATGTGTGACTTCATGTCTCAAAGAGGAAGTTTAATTTTTAAAAAGCCAGATAATGCAATTTTATTAATAAGTAACACTATGATATGGAGGCTTAACTTCAAACTAATGAAAGAACTAAATGAAATTAACTCCAATTAAAGTATGAACGTCATGATCGCGTGGTGTCATCTCACTCTGAGTAGAGCCACCTCACAGTGCAGCGTGAGTTGGTCTTCCAACAGTGATGCAAACTATTTTGCCTTTCTCAAGATTGAAGGAGCTTTGTGAACCCTTAAAGATGCCTTCTCTATTATTATGAAAGGATGCCTTAGGGTAGCGCCCCCCCCCTCCCCCATTCGACCCGTTTCCCCTGAGTTTGTTTTTTAGTAAACATTATTCTTTCAAAGATATTTGCAAGACCTGCTTTATTTTAATTTTGACTGATGTCTGATAAATGGGCCTATTTGGTCTCTTAAGACCTTCATCATGATGAATGAAGATTCAAATGTGAGTTTTCTTCATTCCGTTCAGGACGCAGTGGCGTGGTGTGCTTTGAGATATATCAATTTATCAAACATTTAAATCAATGGTATGGGGTCGATATAGATAGAGTGTTCGCAGCGGACACTCTAATAATCGATTCTTTAGCACAGCTTCAAATGAGGACATATCGATAATCGATCATTCACGCCTCTCCACTGCAGGATAGTAAATGAGTACAGCTCAGAATCTTACTCTATATTTCATTTTCCATTAACACTCAAATCAACCGATTTAAGTGTCTGATTTACAAAGAGATCGTGTCTGAGATCGAAGGAAAACGGCATCAAAAACATCTCAACAGGAAGGATAATCCAGGCCTATAACTTTGTACAAAAAAGTCTAAAATTTACCCTTTGACGTGCATCCAACGTTTTCGTATTGTGATCAAAAACACAAATCATTCATTTTAAAGTTTTATCTTTACCTGTATGTTATTAAAAGTTTAATACTGATTTTATCAGTGATCCAGTACTTTCTTAATCAGTGCCTTATTTTCAACAAAAACAAAAACTTTAACAAAATCAGACTACAGCGCAACTTTTGTTTTTTTCATTGCGTCTAATAACCAGTAACTTGAGAGATACATTTCGCAAAACTTCAACGACAATAATTGCGTGAAGGGGTCATTTATGATTATATTAATTCCACATATATTTTTGGAGTTATCAGAAAAGTTAATAAAATAGCTGCCGTCTAAATTTTTAATTGCAACTTATTTAAAAGATGTTATTTTTCGGAATGTAGTGACAGGTTAGCTCTGGCAGGATCGCTATCAGTGGCGGTTAGATGTCGCAGATCCCACAGAAGCGCTATAAGAGCGACTTGTTAGTTAGTTAGCAACATTTGATTTCCTAATCCATTCCGAAATTTTTGTTTGCGTTCACATTAATTCAAAATCTAAAATTTGCGACCCCCTCCTCTTCTCGCCCAAATCCCCCCGTGAAAAAAAGCAATCTTGAAAATTGCACGAGTTCACAAAAAACGAACAAATACCAGCGAAAAAATATTTCCTGAATTTTTTAAAATTATAATTTACCCTTGATCCTGATGAAGTAAAATGAACGTGAAAAAGTGTGTACTCACGGATGTAAACATGTTGCACGATCGATAACTCGAAGACCACAAGAGGAAAGGAATGACACTGGATAAGTTCTGAGTGCTTTTAAGCGACCGCACATTCATTTATACCAGGGGCAAAAGATCCTGAAAATCTGTCGAGAGGAAAAATAGCTTGACCTTAAACTTAACGGCCTCTTCTCCTGGAAAATTTGCTGCCTCGTCTGAACCGATTGAGACAAAAAAGACCTAAGTTCATCGAAGCGTTGCTTAGATTAAGCGAAAATATCTACAGCCCTTCTAGAAGTGACCAGCATCTAATAATCCTGATATACTAACTTGATCTGCTCTAAATATTCATCACAGCAAATATCATGGAGTTTTAATGCGCAACATTTTAAAAAATAGCATTTTAAAACTTATTTGCTGCTCAATGGTTTACGTAAAAACCGCCGGATTTGTATGACTATTTCTAGACCAAATGTTTCTAGTCACTTTTCTCTATTTTTCAATAGATTTTAATGCCTGATAGAATATTTCTCTTCCCTATTTTTTTAAAAAAAGACCATAAAAAATTTGTAGAAGGGAAAGTTCTGTGGGATTTGTATCATTATTTTCAAGCAAACATGTGGATATTAACTCATGACTACAACGATAAATAGAGTCATAGATAAAAATGATAGACCTTAGCAGGGTGGCTCTGGACTTACGAGGTTTCTGATATAAGCGCTGGGATTTAATTCCCGATTTATTTCCTTTGGTATGACGAGATGATGGCTGATGTCATCTCCGTGGATTCTCGGCATAACCGAATTCCTCGGCTTGAATAAAGGTAACCCAGTGGTAAACTTTTCCACTGGCCTGCTCAGACATCTTTCCAGAATATTAGCCATTGGGCAAAACAGCGTTGCCGATATGAGGGTGTCGATACTCCCGTGAAAATTGGAATTTCATCATTTTCACTGAAAAATTGTCAAAATTGTCGATTGAATCGACATCGTAGTCACGTCTGATCGTTCTGTCTCGCATGCAACTCGATACATAACTGCCTCTTAAACTAATACTACGAGTGCTGATAAAATCTAATGCCTGTGGAAGGTTCCACAGTGATTCTCAAAATTTCTTCGAACACTTGAATTTAAGACGAGATGTTGGAGTTTTTTAGCCAACGTGCGTAAGAAATTCAGCTTAAAGCTGAAATCTCATTAGAGAGGGAAAAAGCTCACACACAAGCACAATTTTCCCTCAAAGAGATATGCTTCAATGGACGTACTTTAATGGACGTAACTAGTGTTGCTCCAAACAGCAAATCTCTTTGAGGGAAAAGTGTGCTTGTGTGTGAGCTTTTTCCCTCTCTAATGAGATTTCAGCTTTAAGCTGAATTGTTTACGCACATTGGCTAAAAAACTCCAACATCTCGTCTTACTTGAATTTAAGGTTAAATCATCATCGATGCGCCGTAAAAACTTTGCTCTCCAATTTTGTGAGTGACTCCTTACTTCATCAATATTCTAGAGTAAATCTTGTGTAATGAGGTTATAGATAGATATTTCTGGCTAAAAAATAAGTGCAAGAGATCATCATTATGTGTACAAGGAACACGGTTCAATATACGCAATGCTTGAATTTATTTATTGATTACTTATAAAGTTTACTAAGTGCCCAAAAAATCTTTATACCTTTTTTTTTTATTAATTTTGTATGACAGCACCTTTTTATCGTGTGAGAAATAAATTGAAAAGTCCAACCTTCAAGGTTTCATTTGTTTGATTCAAGCACACTGTTTCAAAATTCCCTGTCTCTCAAGTGTTCAGGTAAAATAATTGGGAGAACGAAGTTTTTTACCCTTGAAGGTCCAAGACCTCCCAATGAAAACCTCCTTTACTTACCAGTGACATGATAAGAATTTGAAATTGTTGAGATCTTGGATGATTTTGGCACTAAGTACATGAGGGGTGGAAGGTGGTTTGGTAGACATTTTTAGTTACCACTGAAAAAAAATTCATTGGCTATGCATGATGATTTTTAAATTTGCCATCAAAGAGATTTTTTTTTGTTAAAAATAAAGCTGCTTAATTTAAGCTACTTTTCGGCTGTATCAAATCATTTTTTCTTGTCCCTACAGAAAACCTCGAATCAAAATAAGAAAAAACTGTCGGCAGAAAATTTAAGAATCATTGTGCTTCAGCCAAGCACATTTATCTTAGTAAATCGGTCCTTACTCGTCACATAATTCCGAAAATTTCAAAAAAAAATTGAGGGGGGTATAAGTGTGACAGGAGGCACTTTCGGAAAAAAATAATTTAAGTTTAAATGCAACGCATGAAGACTCTGATCCAAAACACGCTCTTGAAGTGGCGATTTTTGAAAGTTGGCAACAGTTTTTTCTTCTACTTATATGTATGTAAAATTATCAGTGCTTGATGAGGCAGCTGGCCTCACCTTAAATCGATATTTTCAATGGATTTAAATGGAGAAAAAACAGGGTAGCCAACTTGAAAAATCGCCACAGCGCTCCAGCAATTTGATGTGTACCCCGGAACACTCTATACACACGTTTCTATAGGGCAACCTAGGGTTTTCATAGGGTCACCTGTTTGCGTGATATCATAGTACGGTTATGTCACCAGCGTTAAGTATGGTCTAACGCAAATTTTTTACAACATTCACGCATGTCCCGCAAATTGCGAGCCATATCGTTTTTCATGATTTTCATTTACCTTAAGATTTCGATCTATGCTTATGGTTTTCGAATGTATTCAAGCCTATGTCGATAAAATAGTGTAACTCACTTGCCACACTTGTTTTATGAATACGATGGTCATATTTACAAGGAAGATGGAGATTTAATAAAATAATATAAAATTGTCAATGATAAAAAATGCATGAATGGAGCTGCCCAGGCTTATATTTCCCATTAATTACCTCTTTTTCCCGTAATCCGCGCACTAGGCCGAAAATAGACGGAATGCTTCGCGTCTGAGGGTCTCACGTTGAATACATTAGCAGGCAAGGCAGATTCCAATCATCTAAACTCTATGCAAAAATATCCTCCTAGAGTCCTAGACTGGCATTTAGACGTCTTTAAATCAAAATAAACAGCCTCCATCGTGACCTGGGCCCTGAGATCTGTAAGGATACATGCTTGACAGGTCCCAAGTCACGTCGAAGATAGTTCTTTTTTATTTAAATGCCTTCATTTTATCGACACCCACGTACCCACGTCCATCCAGCGTTGCTAGAATGGATTTAATACTACCTCCAAGGCTCTCAATTGGTCGTTTTCCTCACGAAATAACGTAACATCTTATCAATGTTGCTGTAGTTCCCCTCGCAAATTGAAATTTAAACTGTGGATTCTCGGGTACTTCTGACTGAAGATTTCAAGGATTTATCACCTGATATCATGAAAATATCAGACTTGGGACACAAATTGAACAGGTATATTCTCGTAAAAAATCGAATTGTTTGCACGAGTTTGCAACGTGAGGTTCTCAGACGCCAAGAGGAGCGGAAAGAGAAGGCAAGAGAAGAAGAATAAGCACAGGAAGAAGAGAGACTCGTTTATAGCACAGGATTGTAAACTGGACTTGTATGCAAAAGTTCCTTGAACTTAGGGCTGATTCACGATTCGCCGCTCAGCGTGAGAAGGGGTTTAACGAAATCCTCACGTGCACCCTGAAGAGCATAGGGATTTGTGCACGTGAGGGCTCATCAGAATTCAAACATACGCTTTTACGCCCGTGAAAAAAGGATTATACCACGTTCTGTTGTTGTTTCATGCATACTTGAGAACTTCAAAGAGACCTGAAATTTGGTAGCCCTCTCAAGAAAACGCGACTCGGTGTAATATAAAGCCTTTGATGGCATATTTTTGTATAGCGGGGGGCTGAATATTATTTTTTACTTGTTGATTTTTTTTTTTGTCCTCTAGCAATGTACAAGATACGAAGTACCATAAAGTGAGGGTTGCCATTTAAAAAAAAATAGTTTTGATTCGTGTCTCTTCTCGAAAAGCCTCCATCAAAAATGAAGTACCTCATTTCGACGTACAGACATCGAATATTCCATAACTTAACTTAAGTTAACATAACTTAAGACTCGATGACTTACTTTACAAAAAATTCATCGGGATGGTCAATGACTTTTTGATCACATCGCAGGTATCATAGCCAGAATGATGGTCTACCTACTTCACGACACCTCGAGAACTTAGAAACGATTTGTAGAGGTTCCTTTCAACGGGCCCAAAAAAAAAAAAAAAAAAAAAAAAAAAAAAAAAACCTTTAAACCCTTCCTACTGAAATCAAGAGAGCAGAAATTCGAAATTGAACGCATTGTAAGTCAAATCTTTCATATAATGCAAGACCAATGCTGCCATGCTAAGGAGAAACGCCGTATGAACCTTCAGATGTTGCCAAATTTCCTTTGACAAAACACGAATTTCCTGGTAAACTTATGAATATTCTTCTCCCAATTTTTTAGATGATTATGTTTGCAATTTCACCTAAAACTCCTGAAAATTTCAAAGAAAAATATCATGACTTTTCTTAAAAAGAAGCATTTTGCCGAGGAAAATTTGGCAGCTCTCGAATGTTCATACGGCGTTCTTCTTTACCACGGCAGAATGCGTGAGCAGCGAGTGCTTGCTTATCTTGCTAACCCTGCGTTAAAGTCTCCGTCCATTTTTTGCACCAATCACAGTGTCTCATTCGGCAACGATGCAGATGCACGCTGAAGTTCACATCCACACGGAACCAGTCCTGCATCGGACAAGATAACTACCTCGATTCTTCCCATCCTCTCCGGTCATGCTCTCCAAGTTCATGGCGCGGAGCGGCCGCCGCGCCGGTAAAATTGAGGCTTTTGCTCACTTGTGATGCGTGTTGCCTGCTCCTTCAATCGAAGGGGAACTTATCTGCGTTTTGGTTACTGCCATTGGTTGAGAGCTGGTAGCGAATCACCGACCGACGGCGATCTACCGCCGGAGGAGACGGGTCGATTATTTGGGAGGGTATGGATTCGATCGACATGAATCGATCGAAAAATGAAAACGTGAATCAATCGACGTGAATCGATCGACACCGATTCGATCGACAAAATTCGATTGACTCACGGGTTAGTCGATCGACTCACGGGTT